TGTACACAGTATTTATAAATACTTGTGTGTCTGTACACAGTATTTATACATATTTGTGTGTTTGTACACAGTATTTATAAACACTTGTGTGTTTGTACACAGTATTTATAAACACTTGTGTGTTTGTACACAGTATTTATAAACACTTGTGTGTTTGTACACAGTATTTATACATACTTGTGTGTTTGTACACAGTATTTATACATACTTGTGTGTTTGTACACAGTATTTATACATACTTGTGTGTTTGTACACAGTATTTATACATACTTGTGTAATATTGGTAAATATCAGTTACAACAGAAATAGTATCTGGACCTGTTGATCCAGACCAGGTTGTGGACCTCCTGAGTCCGGACCCAGGACCGGGACTAAGACCTGGACTTCAGGACTCACCTGGTCCTGAGGACCTGCCAGGCCGCCTCGATGTCCGRGGACAGGTTCTTCTCGGACGGTGTCCCGGTTCTGATCKCGTACCCTGAGTAGTRATAGGAGAAGACGTTGCAGTTGATTCTGGACCCGAGTCCGGTGTAGAACCTGCACATCTGACCCAGGTCCTACTGCCAGTCCGCCCGCGGGCTCAGCTGCAGGCGGCTCCTGCCGGTTCCGTCGCTGTGGACCGAGTAGGTGGGTTCTGGGGGGAGGAAGGCCAGCTTGGCCGCGATCCGGKTGGAGCAGGGCGGGCAGCAGAACCAGCACAGCTCTGCGACAGAAACCCCGTTCATCCTGGTCCTGGTCCTGGTTCTGGTCCTGGTCCGGGCATCAGGGCTCGGCTCCGGCCTGACACCCCGGAACACAACACAGGTAGGCTAACAGTCCGGTCCAAACTCAGCTCCGCCGAACCGTACAGAACACATGTTTAAATCGAACCGGACCGGACCAGACCGGACCAGACCGAGACCCGCTGTGATGAAACACATTCCGTTAGTCCCTTCAGGTTCTGCTGCTACACAACAGCTACAAAAAGCTACTATTTACTAGCTAACAATCGGACATCCGCTTCCGCTGGTGCCGGATATGACGTCAGTAATGTTTTAAATAAACTTTATTGAACAGTTTAAATACAATCAGGAATGGAGACGTGAGACCGTCCATCTCAAACCAGGTAAACCCAGWGTTAAAAACTGATGTGATTCTTGTTCTGTTCATTAACTACAGCAGGTTTCTGTTAAATAACTTCAACTATATTAAACAATGTAAAGGTTTTTATCAAAGATATATATTAATGTTTTTACCTTTGAAATATTATATCAAAGGTAAAATCATTGATATATCATTAGTAAAACATCAACAGTTATTACCTTCTACTTTACACAAATGTTGTGAAAAAGTCATTAGTGTAAAATAACAAGAAGCAACATTGTAAAAACTATGAATCATAAATCTAAGAAGGTCAACAGCAGAAGAAAAGTGATGTTCTCATCATGATGCTGCCTCCACCGTGCTTCGCTGTAGGAAGCAAAGGGTTTGTGTATGCATGTAAAACTGGTGTTTTACCCCTCAGAAAACATCAAATGGAAAACAGAAAGGTTTATATGAGTGAACWGTTTTGTTTGCTGAGTTTAAAACTTCTGTTTGGAGGAAATTCCAAAGTTTTTGATGAAAGACAGACGTGTCGGCTCAGAGACACGCTGACTGCAGACAGGAATGCATGCCAACCACACACACGCACCATCTGAGCTGCTCAGGCAAATTCAAGATTATGTGAAGAGCCCGACTCAGAACATCAGAATGCTTCGGTCCTGATCCATGGCCCGAGGCGGTAAACAGACCAGATGCTGTTTTCCAACAAGAACAAAACTTCTTTTGAGCTTTTCTCAAATAAACATCATCTCAGCACAACAAGCAAGAGGAGAACTGGACTGGGTCCAGGCAGCAGCAGAACCTCAGCGGTTCCTCAGGTTCAGGAGGCAGCGCCTGGCGTGTCAGGAAGGAATGCGGGGGAAAGTATTTATTTAAAYAAGGCCTGTTGTTGCTTTGTGATTGGCTGTTTTTCATCACAGCAGCAGAGAGTCAGGAGCTGCCAGTTCATGTCTGCAAAAACACATCTCAGCTTTTCATTCTTTACATTTTTCTGTGCAACAGGGAGGATTAAACACTACTGTCCTCAGGAGCACATCGTTCTCCGTTTGTCTGTCTTCAGACCCAGTCACAGATTATTTACTGTGACCTTGTTGTGACCTTTGAGTCCTGGACAAGAGACGGGTCAGGTTCTGAAGAAACATCAGAGCAGCTCCTTCAGCTCGGACTCCTCTGTGAGTCCTGCAGGAGGAACTTCATGTCTGATTAGCTCCGTGTCAGTGGCACAGGACGGTCAGAGCAGGGCTGGACTCAAGTAAAGTTTTATTTATAAAGTACCTTTCACAGAAATATATTCACCAGGTGCTGTTCAATCATTAACAGAGTAAAATGGTGAAAAGAATAAAATGAAACAGAAAAACATAATTACACATAAGCAAAGAAAAATTAAAACATTAAATCAGGAATTTATTTCTAAAATTGTAACAAGGTGCTGTACAATCATTAACTGTGTAAAAATGGTGAAAAGAATAAAATGAAACAGAAAAACATAATTACACATGAGCAAAGAAAACTGAAACATCAAGAAATTAATTTCTAAAATTGTAAATCAAACACAAGGTCAAAATATAAAATAATACAGAAACATAATGAATGTGGGAGAGAAAATATGGTTGAAGTTTAACAGAAAATAAAACACAGATTGTTGAGTATTTACAGTGGAGGTAGGCCTGCAGTAATGATGAAATGTTAGCTAAACGCTCGAGTGAAAAAGTGTTTTTAGGAAGGCCTGAATCCAGCGTCAGTTCTGCTGCGGTCCACATGAGTTCTGCAGGGTCCGAGTCAGCTGCAGGCTGGACCTGTCCGGTTCTGATCAGAAACTGATGGAGCAGTGAAGCTGGTACCAGGGTCAGAACTGTTCTTTATCTGAATGMACGTTTTTACAGCGTAAACATATCAACACAAAATGTTAGAAATGAGCCAGAGTCCTGAAGAGAAGATGAGATAAACTGTTGGAGGATCTGTYAACAAACCCTTTGACATCTGGCAGCCATTTTTATCTGATGTAGGAAACATTCAGCAGGTAACTTTGTGTAAAGGTTAAATATTGTTTCATCGTACACAAACCTGTTCGTTGTATCACTTGATGAACACAAGATCATTTTTTATTTCAGTGGATCCGGTACAGGAGGGATTTTGTGTGTTTTGTGTTTTTGTAAAAGTCTGTTCTTTTTTGTGGTTTGTTTAAAAAATAATAATAAAAAGACCTTGATTAAAAAAAATAATACCCAGAGTCCAAAAAGGCCCGGTTCTACAACGAGCTGCGTGACAGGATCAGGTTTTAACCAGTTTTTTCTTTTTGAGTTCTAAATATGGTCCAAATGGACCGGTACATCATGTGTTATACAGAATCCACTCATCTGTCTCCATCATCTTCATCGGCCCACACCATGGGGCGATGCTGGGGGTCCGCCCAGAGACAAGCTGGACTTCCTGCCAGGAGGGTCTTTAAGTGTTTATGTTTCTGTGGATCGGTTCACTCACATTAAATCCTTTTATTTTTTATCCACTTCCTTCCAGTTCAACCTAAGCTCTGGGCATCAGAGTTTGTTTCAATAAATCACTAAATGAAAACCTGATTATTCAGGGTCTCAGGTTATCCAACAGTTTCCTTCAGGTCCACATCTGATCTGGTTTCTTAAACTCTTCAGAATTTGCATAAACTGATGTAAATAAAAACCATAAAGTCTTTAAAATACTGCTCAACAAAACATTGTTTTTTCAAGCTTTAGTTTTGGGGAAAAAAAATTTACCAAATGAACTAAACCTTAAACCTGTGGTTTTCTGTGTAAATTGTATAAATTCATTAGGAGCCTGGATGAGTGACGTGTTTAATCAGATTAAATSCTTTCATAAAAAGAAAAGTGACACGCCTGCTGGTTAATAAACATCACCAGTTGTTTTTACTCAAACAGCTCACAACAGGAAACCTTTWTAACGTCTGAAATATGAAGGAAGCCACCAAAGCCAGAGGAGTTTATTGTCACAATTACAGTTTGTTACATAAAATAATGGGTCACATTTACACAGTTTTTACACAACTCAATGTACAGTTAACTAACAACTAAGTACCAATAGTTAAATAGTCACATGAAACATTAGGACCTCCACAGAAACAGACTGAGTGAAAGCAGCATGAGCAACATAAAATCACATTATTTACATAAAAATATCAAGCTAATGTGTAAAAGTCCAGAAACTTTAACAATCCTTCAGTTTTTAGTTGTTGAGAAGATGTCAGAGAAACCAGGTGGAACAGAGCTGAACAACATCWAACAGGTAAACACTGGTGATCAACATGGCGGACGTCCCTTTAAAGCAGGCTGCTGTGATTAGCGGTTAGCTTTACTGTTAGCATTAGCTTAGCAACAAATAACTTCTGTATTACTGAAGACTTCACTACATACAAGAGGCAGAATAAAGTTCACAAGAACCCCACAGGGTCTGCTGGAGAACTGCAGTCTGCAGAACCTTCACAATAATAAGACCTGGTCCAGGCAGAGTACTGAGTCCGGCTCTGGGTGGTCCGATCAGACTTAGAGCTGAACACAGGTGTTAACAGGGCCAAAGGGTCAGTCCTCCACAGGGTCCGGTTCAGACCCTGGTCTGGGACAGTTTCATCAACACTGTTTGGTATTGTGATGTGAGCCGGGCTGAAGGACTGGGTCCAGGTGCCTCTACAGGTGCCTGCTGGACTCCAAACCTTCAATGACTTGTTAGAAAACAGACCCGACTCAAACGACTCTACAGTCTGGAAGTACAAAAACAACTTCTGGGTTTTTAGGGACAAAGTTTGACGGATCAAAGTTTTCTGACTTTAAAGTCCTTAAAGTGAATAAAAAAGATCATTTTATTGGATTCTAACAAAGAACGGATCTCCAGGCGGAACAATCGGTTATTTTCTGCAGGTTAAGAACCGTTTGTTCGGACCGGTTTCACAACACTTGTCTGGACCCCTTCGGTCCAGACTGTGGACTTACTGGACAAACGAAGCTGAGGGAAGAGGAGGACAGGATTCAGGATGTGGACGGTTGGTGGGACACATGAGGGGACTGAGGCAGAGAAGGTCCAGGGACCAAGAAGAAGAAAATCTGATTTACTGGATCCTGAGATCAGAAGATGATCCAATAAAAGCGTAACACTAATGAAGGGAACCGCCTGTGGTCCTGAGGACTGTACTGAGCATGCTCAGAAACCTGACCTGCATCCACTCACCACCAGTACAACAAACTGACACAAACCCACAGGACGGTTCCAGACTACAGGTCCCAAAGTCCAAACTCTGGACTCTGTGAGATGGTCCACATGCAACTGATGAAACATTTATCGCTCCAACAAACAGGTCCCTGGTGGCCCAGAAAAACAGGTCTGTGGTGACCTGGAGGTGCAGAAACTGGGTCTCTGGTGACCCAAAAACAGACATGTCAGAACAAAAAGCTAAACACAAACTGGAGTCCCTCTGTGAGAGCAGCAGGTCCGGACTGGTTCTACTCAGAGAAAGGAGGGAACATGCCGAGATCTGCAAAGTCCTCTATGTTGTAGTTGGCTGTTCCCTGGGTCGGGTCTCCGGTCATGGGCAACATGTCCTGCAGAGACACACGGGTCAGGGTCACAGGATCCACAGACCAGCTGAGATCTCACATGGTCTTACCTGGAACACTTCAGTCTGACCAGGGTTGGTGTGGCTGTGCTGCTCCCCAGCCTGCTGGGAATGGTGCTGGTTCTGCCACTGGGTCCAAACCTCACTGGGCCGACCCTGGAACTGGGCTCCACTCTGACCAGCTTCCCCTGACACATCTGGAGACGAGTCGGTACAAAACCCTGAAGTTTCCTGTGTGTCAGCAGAAACCCTGATCCCAGACTACCTGATCCCAGACTATCTGATCCCAGACTGCCTGATCCCAGACTACCCAACCAATGAGAGGTGAAGCTTACCAAATGCTGTGCTGCGGTTGGTCAAGCCAGAGTAGGCGTTTCCACTGGGGGAAGATGTGGCCGGGGATGACAGGGGACTGTAGGAGGCTGGGTCTGTTTGGTAGTTGTG